TAAAAGCGGAATTTATTTTGAGCACTAAAGCTTAAGTAAAGCTAACCATTTAGATAGCGAATGTAACTTAGTCACATATTTTGATATTTCTAATTGGCATAAAAATTTAATCATATTGAAAATACTTTAAATGAAATTAGAAATCTTTGCAATCGTTGTACCTATAATAAATTCTCGTTATGTTAAACATCAATATTAGTGCTAAAACAATTATATCCTCATTTAAGGAACCAAGAAAAAATACTCAAGGAAATTATTGAATACTCTTCAACACATCATCGCTCCAAACATTCTGTTATCGATGATGTAGGAATTTTATTTAAAATATTATTTGGCACATTAGATGTAGAAGATGCGAAATTTTACGACGAAGCAATTAATCACTTAGATTGAAACGAACTTGAATTAGTAAAATTACTAAAATCTCAATCTCAAGTAATCAAAACTACGATTCAAATAATATAATTACCGATTTAAACAAAAAAGAAAATATTTTATTAAAAATATAGTATTCAATATTGAAACAAGTTTTAGACGAACAGTTATCTTTTTTTCACCTTAGTAACTACGGAAGTAAATAACGAAATGTGTATGATAATTGATGTTATTTTATTTGCTAAGAATCATAATCTCCACCCAATTATAATTATTCCAGAGCAATATATCTATTGGTAATACCGCATAATTTCAACTCTTTCTTGTAAATATGAAGAACCGATTGATTTAATCTAGGAGCCACTGGTATTTTAAAATTAAAGAAAAGTTTTAAATGATATTCACCCAATATAACATTTTACACTCAACTAATCAAGACTTAATGTCAAAACATTTATACCTGCTCCCAAATTTCGATGTAATGAATGAAACTGTTGACTATACAATAGATTTTATACACTCAAATAAATATAATATGAATTTTGAAGATTTAAATATAGCAAGTCACAAAATTCATAAAAGTAAGGATTTATTTAAAGACTTTTATTAAAAGAATAACATTTTTCATAAAATTAAAAACAATACATATTATGTATTTATAGTTTTGTGGATAATTAAATTTGTAGCAGTTTATGTTTTGTATAGAATAGGAAAATATTTAATAAGAAGGAAATACTGTCGTAAAAATAGAGATAGAGTTTTAGCAATTGAAGAATCTAAAAATTATTGTAGCAGGAGCACGAACTGCATAATTTAGAAAATATCAACAATGAAATGTAACTTGAAGATATTTCAAATTCTGCTTCTGTTGACACAGCAACCACAAATACACTTACACCACAAATACACTTAAGCCACAAATACGCTAAGGCATAGTACAAGAATGACTCAGATAAAAGCTTAGTAAGTTATTAGAATATATTATTAAGAAATTCATAGTGTTTTATGTTAGACATTATTGTGATTTATTTTGTAATTAATTGTGTAATTGTTATATTTTATAATTTTATAGTCATGAGTGTTGATTATATTTTTCCCATTTTGAAAGGGGAGGTGCAATAGACCTTAGTCACAGATAGTAATGATATATTTGTTATTCTCAAGGAAACTACTAATGATCAATTGACTTTTCCCAAACTAATGTCCAACTCAATAATGTTAATATATCGATAGCTAAATGATATGTAAATTTATTAGTTAACGAGAGGACGAGGGTCGTGTCATTATCTGCCCTCTTCAAGTATAATTTTCTCGTGAATTCCTCGTAAGTCTAGTTAGTCTCCATAGTGCCGTGAGCATATGTAATTAATTTAAGTTGTCTAGAGTAAAGTCTGTGTTCTCAACGCTCGTGTCTCTTTCAACTGAAACCCCTGAAACAACGAAATATATAACAAGAACGGAAAAGGTAATTCGTTCTCTCGGTCATTGGTCGCACGGTCTTTGCTCATTGGACACGCCAAAGAAATATTGCAATTTCGTTCAATTTGGTAGTATTTCACTATTATTTTTTGTTCACGAAAGACATTCGAATAACGAAATCTTATAATATTCACTGATCAGAAGTCAAAAACATTCGCCATGAAATCATCATCCCAATTCCAAAACACCGAAAAGAACAAGGCCGCTTTTTATGAGCAAATGTACAGATGTACCCCACGTGAGCGGTACACAAAACTCAGCGACGCGTTTAGCCTACCCCATCATATCACTGTGTTAGTTCATTTGACAAATAATGTTCAAAAACCTAATGAAACTGTTTGGGCTATAACTGAATTATTGGGAGTAGGCCTTCGCACAAATATTTGTTTACAGAAATTAAATCCATTAATCTGTTGCCAAATAACCTCCTAAGAGACTGCTTTATATATCGGATTTGAAGCATATGTTACTTCCCACTATACCCCAATTAACTTGCTCTTATCGCAAAACCATTTCTTATAGTACTATAAGTTTTATGAGACGTTTTGTTATAGTACTAGTATGATCTAAGCAGTCCTCTTTTATTAGCAACTCTAACCATTAAGTTATTAAAATTCCACGAATAAGTTTATTGTTATTTCTTTTTGTATAGTGTAGTTTAAAGATTTTTTTTTGTTTGTAGAGAACATATAATTGTTCAAAACAGTAAATTTTGCCATTATCCAAAACAAGTAACGAGAAGGATAGAAACAAAAACCTGCCCAAAACAATAAAAGAGGCCAACCTAGCAGCTGCAAAAGACAAAGACACGACTATCGTCGGCTTTGTCGAAAATCTTAGACAATATAAAAAAGAATCGTCATATAACTTTTACATCCCAGCCTTTCCGCTAGCTAGTCCCTTTAAACATATACATAGATATCTTTTGACCGCTCCCAACAATCGCGAAATGATGACCAGAAGCAATACATACAATTATCGTATTAGTCTGGCCGAGATTGTCTAGAAACATTGGATTGCTCGCTTTGGATGTCCAACCATTCTAGCAAGTGACAGAGTCGATGACTCAAAAGCCACTTATTCAACAACCTAATAAAAATGACGGGATCAAAGTAAATGTCGTCGTATGGTGATATCGCAACAAGAGACACATAAAAGTCGATCAACGAGTCACCGACCGTGAAGATTTTAGTAAATAAATATTATGTCATAAATTGTTAAACTGTTATTTTTGTTAGGAGATGCCATATTCCTTATTTAGCTTTATATCCTACATTCATATTATATTTGTTAATTAAAGAATATAGTTATCTTAATTATTATCGATGTGTTGTTGTTGTAGGAAATTAAAAGGAAGACTATTTGAAACTTAACTAAGTACTTACTCATACAATTTTATGACATCGTAACTACCATTAACGTTTTGGCTGATAATGATCATGAATGATGTTTATGAACTTTCATTAGGCCAAATAACTGATCTTAATAAAGATAAGATTTTAAAATAATAATTTCCTCTATACATCGTCAGATATAATATTTTATAGAGAAAATTACCTTTTATTCCTATTTCAAATTATTTTTATTAGATCAATAATCGGTATTTAAAATTACCTTGATACAGCCATTTGATTCTGTCACTACTATCAAATTGAAGTCATCACCTTTAAAGAGATGGATTCAATAGATGAGCGTAACTGTATATAAAGCATCCTTCTCTCTTGGTAATAATTTCAGCATCGTGTTCAAATAATTTAAGTTTGTACCAACACAATATTGCACTACACTCCGCGTCTTTCAGTGGCGTCACTGACTCTATATGGGACCGATTTAAATTGCAATAGTCCGATACGAGAACTGGATTTGATAGCACTTCATACTTCATCACAGACAAGTCCAGTTCGAGCGCTTGAGTAATCTGGTACTTGTTAACATGCGAAGCCATTTTGAAGCTGATATTTTCATCTAATAACTTGTTATTTATATCTCACCAATCACTCATCGCTAGTTGAAGTAATGTCGTTCGCCTTCTAGACGGACTGTATAAAGTTTTGGTCTTTCAAATTCCAAGCATGGCAAAGCAGTGATCTTGCACCTCGAAGCATCATTTGAAGCCCGAACATTGGGAATGGTCTAAAGTCAATTATATCTGTGTCGGTCATATCTACTATCTGCTGCAGATAAGCACAAGCTGCCGGAATACAACGAATTATTGCGTTCATGAAAACTGTGTCGTTTAGAAATCTAATCAGGGAAATTGAGATTCTCGGTTTGCTGAATTCTGTTTGGAACGCTATTTTTCCCTCTTTCAACACAAATTTAATTGGAGTGCTCTGATTGATCTTCATTTTTGTCGGTACAAAATCCGGAAATACAGCTTGCGACCACCCCTTTGTGCGGCTTTCGCACGGTACAGTAGCGGTACGCGGGTCATTCGTTAGTTCTATGTATTTTGTGAAGTAAAGTTTAAACCAGCCCACTATCACATCAATTGCACCGTCCTCTTTTGTTATTAGATTAATATCGTTATATGATTTACGATTTTTTACCACCACATCGTCATATCGATCAAAACTTATATCGAAAACTAATTATTCATCCGACATGATTTTGATATCATCGTCGTCGTACATATACAAATCTTCTTTGTAGAATGTTTTTTGTTCAGGTAACATACAGAGCACTTTTGAGTTGGGAATTTTCAAATTTTTCTCCACTGTTTCATGCAGTCGATATTTATTAGCAATACGTTTGCATTTCGCTCCTGCAACATAATATTCTCCCTTATACGACAGGGCCTGCGCATCTCGAGCTAGCAGACGTTCCCAAGCACTCTTAAGGTTTTCAAGCATACCGTGTCTGAAAGACCCTCGTCAAAATTATTAATTATTACGAATGTACGCTTACCAATAATGCCGGACGGATCGAGTTGGGTGAGAGCAGGCGATGAGTTAAAAACTCACAGTGGACTGCGCCTTGCACCCGCGGGCCATCAGCGCCGATAAACCAATGCCCCCGTCCCGATCTAATATTCGGTCGTATTAGGTTTTATCTCCTTGTACATGGCGGATCTATATGCGCCGTTTCGTATTTAATCATTATACCTATAACCTGAACAGACCTCTGTCAAAGAACATTTTCTTCGACTAGTTTATTTTCATTTCAACATTTACAGGGAACGAATCGAAGTTAAAAGCTTTTTTGTAGTGAATCAGTGCTTCGGCATGCATACCGTAGCTGTAAAAGATGTCACCGATGTCAGTCAGTAGAACGATGTTACCGGGAAAAGCGCGTAAGGCATAACGCACGCAGTTCATCATTTTGAAGCTGTGTCGTGGCATTTTGAACAACACTTCCATTAATTTGGCCAATACCACTCGGAACTCGTATTCTATATATATTTTCACGGATGGGTGCTTTTCTATTGCTGTTAAATAAGAGTTGAAAGTGTCTAGGTATTCTCTTTGTTCAGTCAAACGACGAGTTTCATTAATCTCCAAATACTCCATTTGGAAATTATTATCTAAAGAGCACTTTTAAAGTATAAACTATTAGTAGAAGCTATTGCACACACAGTTATTGCACTTTTAGTGGACACTTAAACGTTTATTTCTCACGTCCGGCGTACGTCCGGCGGGTACGACGGTCGCGTATGAACTGCTGGGTTGTTATATGCAGTCTTCGTAAGTCGGAGCCGTAGTCGCTTTGTTAACTTTATTTGCCTTAACAACAAAAGATTTGGTGCGCAATACAAGCATGGTATTTTTTATTGGTATATCGTCAGATATTGCGTCGAACTAAATAAACCCACCCGTACTCCGAGAAAAAAAAATGGTGGCCTTTCTTAGACAAATGGGACAAAATGCCTAATTATGATGGATTAATTTATAATTTTTTTTATATTACTTTTTTTAGTGAGTCGGACACAGTACAGCTGCCAACATCCACCAACCATCCATCAACATAGGATGTGATAAAATAGTGAGAATAATTTCTAACTGAAAGTGAAAAATATTTTATATCAATAATAATCATTTCTGTAAAAGCAAGTTACGATGTATCGCCTTTTGAAAGTTTTATATCTCTTGAAATGGCTGAAAGAATGTGGAACGAAATCTGATGGCAGCAAGGCGCGTTACTTAGACAATTGCGACACAGTTAATAATTTAATAAATCCGAGTTAAAGAAAATATTATTACAAATTATCATAACAAGAATTACCGATAATGCTTGATAAATTATTAGGAATAGAGAATTTTAATATTGGGTAGATTAAAAAAAAAAATTGCTAGATATGTTTACAGAAGAACGAACAATATGTCAATGGCAATTAGAATTCAGTAGCTGTAAACAAACTTTCAATGAAAGCGTCATGCAATATGCTAACAAAGTCGAAATCTTTTATATAAAATCAATAAATTGATAAGATACTTCTAACCAAACAACAGATGCGAGAAAAGCATATGTTGATCTATTAAAATCACAAGCATTAAGTGATTTTGTAACAGGTTTAAATAAAGATTTAAATGTGATATTAAAAGTTCTCCAGCCTAAAACTTAAGATGCAATTTCTTTGGCTATGGTTGAAGAACAACAACTTAATGTAAAATGATATGTCTGAATTTCAAATTAATAAACCTCGACATACAGTTGTTAATTGCAGAGTTAGATCATTTAAGGGGCCTTATAAAAATTCTAAATATTGCAATTATTGCAAAAAGTAAGGTCACATTAAAGACGATTATTTTTCAAAAACGCGAATCAAATAACGGAACCTGTTTTTCAAATAGTAATGGGAAACTATCTGACTTCAAAAAAAACTAATGTAACCTGAACGCATGAGTCAACCAGAGGGTAAAACTTATATTAAAAGACTCATTACTGCGATAACTACTTGTTATTTAGTTACATTAAAATTGAAAGATAATAAATATGATGTCAATTTCTTAACAGAACCTCATAAAAGAAAAATATTTACATAAGGAAGCCTAAATGCATTATGATATTTAGGGCCATTTAAAGGGAACTGATAAAGTAGTCAAACCAAGGAGGACTTTAGGTTATGTCAAATTGGAGTTCTAAAGTAATTTAAAGATTACTCACCACATTTATAATAATGATTTCCCTTTTGATTCTAAATTGGTGGTGAAGCATTACAAAAGTACAAAGGGATTATTAATTATAGCACCAAATCATAAAAAATAGCTGAAAATAATTTTGGTTTATGTTTTGAAAAGTGTCGAATTGGGTGAAACGATGATTTGTATTGTTAATTCATTTAAACATTTCCTAATTAACATTTTAGAGAGCTCATCAGCACCAAAACTTCGTTTGTTTTAAGATTTTTTATAACTTTGTGAATTTAATAGAGATCCCATGGCTGCAAGAAAAATGGGTTTTTAATATTATTATTGCGTTGTAAATTATTTTTATTACTATTTGTACTTCCTATAGACTTGAAAAATATATTAAATATATTTGCAATTTCGGTTGGATTTTCTATAATTAAATCATTATATTTTAATTTTATAGTTTGTCTATTATTCAAATGTGTTTTATTTGGACTTCACGTTTTTTTTTACCAAGAAGCTTTTATTTTGTGTGATAAAAAGTAGTCTTAGCAATCGTTTGTTATGGCATGATTTTTTTTTAACCTATTGTTAAGTATGTTTTTTTCCTATTGGTTTGATAAGGATTTTTGGTTTGGTATGCATTTATTGAGAATTCGTTTGAGAGTTTCATTAAAATTGTTATTACCTATGATTATAACGACAACCGCGAACGAATTATTCTAGAAAATCAGTTCAACTCACCGATCCAGGTGCTGATTTTACCTTTTAACTTTTGAAAGAAGTTTCGAGATAATTTAAAATAAACCAATTAACTTCTACTGCTTGCCACCCGTAACTCAATGGTGGTCTTGAAAAGAAGTCATGCTACTAGCCGAATATCTAAGATACTACATAAAAGAAGACCAACACGATCGGGATAAGTGGATAGATTTCGCAATGTTTTCTTGTAATACTTATTTTCATTTATCAACTAAATTTACAGGATTCAGGTTAAAAATGCACGTAAACCGTTTAAATTTAACAAAATAATTTGTGTAATATGAGTGTGTAAAAAATTAGGTTATACTTCTTATCGTTACGGATTGACCTTCGCATCGCTTTGTTGAAGTGAACTGTATCACATAACACCTTAAAATAAAAGCGGAATTTATTTTGATCAGTTAAAGCTAAAGGTAAAGCTAATAATTTAGATAGCGATTGTAACTTGGTCACATATCTTGATATTTCTAATCGGCATAAAAAATTTAATCATATTGAAAATATTTTAATTGAAAGTAGAAATCTTTACAATCATGATACCTATAATGAATTCTCGTTATATCAAACTTCAATTAATATTGATGTAGGAAAAAAATCTCAAGGAAATTATTGGATTCTCTTCAACTCTTCATCGCTCCAAACATTCTGTTATCGATGAGATAGGAAATATATTTAAAATCTTATTTGGCACATTAGATGTAGAAGACGCGCAATACAGCGATGAACCAATTAATCGCTTAGATAAAAACCAAAATGAATTAGTTAAATTAATAAAGTCTCAATCTCAAGTAATCAAAACTACGATTCAAAATTTCAATAATACAATTATCGATTTAAACAAAAAATAACTCATATTTATTAAAAATTTAGAGAATATAGCTAATTATACTAAAGATACTAATAATAAAATATTCAACCTTGAAACAAGATTAGGCGAACATTTATTTTTTCTCACCTTAGTAACTACGGAAGTAAATAATTTATTCTATTTTATTTGCTAAGAATAATAATCTGCACCCAATTATAATTACTCCAGAGCAATATATCTATGAGTTTTAGAAAACCGTGTCACATATTCCGATCCATACAAGTTATCCTTTAGAATTGAATATTGATAACGCATCAGAATTGTTGTCTTTAGTCAATACCTATTGTTTCATATAATATGAATGTTTTTTTATTTATTTATTTATAATTGTAGTATAATTGTTGTAGTAAAATATTAACAATGAAATGGAACTTGAAGATATTTCAAATGCTGCCTCTGTTGACACAGCAACCACAAATACACCGCTAAGGCATAGTTCAAGAATGGCTCAGATAAAAACTTAATAAGTTATTAGAATATATTATTAAGAAATTCAAAATGATTTATGTAAGACATTATTGTGATTTATTTTGTAATGAATTATGTAATTTTATAGTCATTACTTTTGATTATATTTTTCCCATTTTAAAAGGGGAGGTGCAATAGACCTTAGTCATAGATAGTAATGATATTTTTGTTATTCTTAAGGAAACTACTAATGATATATTGACATTTCCCAAACTTATGTCTAACTCGATAATGTTAATATATCGATAGCTAAATGATATGTAAATTTATTAGTTAACGAGAGGACGAGGGTCAGGTCGGGTCGGGTCATTATCTACCCTGTTCAAGTATCATTTCCTCATGAGTTCCTCGTAAATCTAAAGTTAGTCTCCATAGTGCTGTGATCAAATGTAATTAATTTAAGTTGTCTAGAGTAAAGTCAAATTACCTTCATTATATAAAGTACCTAGGAGCAGTATACTATAGTATAGGAGCAGTACAAACAAATAAAAAATGGCATCCACTCGGGTATTATCCTAAGAAGTACACCGATACTAAAAAGTATTCTACTTTGGACCAACTGTTACTTTCGATCTACATGGCACTTAAATAATTTAGGAAATCATTTGAAAAACGGAAACTTATTATAATATTAACCGACCACAAGCATTAAACATTTGACATGACAAACTCGCAATCATCACCCGATACACCACGTTTTAACAAAAACTGTTGTTTATCAGTAAATATACCACAAATGTGAGCGAAAACAAAAACATAGTTGCCAATGCACACATCCGGATAGAAACAATAGCCTGCCCAACAAAGACAGACGCGATTTTTGCACCCTATTAAAGCAAGACAACATTAAGTCAAATAAAGTCAATGCTCCATACAGAGATGTCGACAAAGACATGCGGTTCGTCTATGTATTCTGCGATGTCATATTAAGAGTGGTCTTCTTTTAAATTATGTCAACATATTAACAAAAACCATTAAACCATCCACCAGGGTATTCGCAAAAGAATTTGACTGCATCATAAAGACAAGTGGACTGCATATTACAGGTGTTAAGCTGCGAAGACTTGCAAAGAAAATTGTTCTATCTGAAGCTCAAAAGTGGCAACTATTCGCTTCGTACGGGATTACAGAGATTTCGGTTTTCACATGTCATATTTTCTGACGAGAAAAGTTTTAAATCAAGCCAAGTTGGACGGCCTCACTTATAAATAATACAAGATACAAATCTCGGAACGTGTTACCTAATAATCAACCGGGCTGATTACGGTCAATATATGCACTTCGAGGACTATTGCAACACAACTAAATAAATAAAATAAACAACACACGCTAACGGCTCCTCATGGCTTCTCCATCTAGAAGCCATCAGGAAGTCCCAAAAACATTAAGGCTATCTCTTATTGCAAATTATTTATTTCCGCATTATATTTTTTCAATTGTTTTTATATAAAATATTATCGTAAAACCATTATTGGCAAAAACCAATGGCACAGATGCGCAAAGGGTATTTATTGCCCAAAAAAATGCATAAGATCCATATGTGGTATCGCTCCCGACGTCTCATTTAAGCAATGGTTTAAATTTCTTGGTATTCTACCTCTTCCTTGCTTATATATATTTGAAGCAGCGAAATTTGCCAAACGATACCCTGATTATTACAAAATAGCTCATGAAGAGTATCCCAGGAACATTAGAAATAAAAATAGGCTAGTTCTTGACATAGTCCCAAAAAGCGCGCGATTTAAAAATAACTGCTACTGTATGTGTCAAACAATATTTAATAAGATTCCGGAATCTATAAAGAATACACCTTTTACTAGATTTAAGAGAGACTTATATAACTGGCTTGCTGAGCGTTCCTTTTATTCGTTGCACGAGTTCTTAGACTATAGAAACTGAACGGTAGCCTGGGTGGATTAATCAGTGCTTATAGTATCTTTTTAACTACATTTGCATGCTATTGTTAATGGCTGAATAGGCGATAATTGTATTACTTTTTACATCTCTTTTGAATACCCTGTTCAAACGCAAATAAATTATTATTATTATTAGTAGAAATCAAAATCGTCAATTCAATTTGCCGCGTTTGGCAGTTTGGCAGTTGCAGTACTGCCTGAAGTTTTTCAACATAGTTGTATTATTTTTTTACATTTAATATATATTATTATTACGAGATATTAAAATTTTAGTTCCGAATAGTCGTCACTTATATATTTTAATATTTTTCTTACTATGTCTACTTAAAATCGATAAAATCACAGATATCACAATACTATTAACAACATGAAATCTTTGGATTCATTATATATCTTAAATCTATTGTTGGAAATTGAAAGGAAGACTATTTGAAACTTAACAAGTACTTACTTATACTATTTTATGACATCGTAACCACCATTAACGTTTTGGCTGATAATGATCATGAATGATGTTGATGAACTTTCATTAGGCCAAATAACTGATCTTAATAGAGGTTACGATTTTAAAATAATAATTTCCTCTACACATCGTCAGATATAATATTTTATAGAGGAAATTACCTTTTATTCCTATTTCTAATTATTTTTATTAGATCAATAATCGGTATCTAAAATTACCTTGCTACATCCATTTGATTCTGTCACTACTATCAAATTCAAGTCATCACCTTTGAAGATCGGTACAGGTGGATTCAATAGATGAGCGTAACTGTCTATAAAGCATCCTTCTCTCTTGGTACTAATTTCAGCATCGTGTTCAAATAATTGAAGTTTGTACCAACACAATATTGCACTACACTCCGCGTCTTTCAGTGGCGTCACTGACACTATATGGGACCGATTTAAATTGCAATAGTCCGATAGCAGAACAGGATTTGATAGCTCTTCATACTTTATCACAGACAAGTCCAGTTCGAGCGCTTGAGTTGTCTGGTACTTGTTAACGTGCGACGCCATTTTGAAGCCGATATTGTTATCTAGTAACTTGTTATTTATATCTAACCAATCACTCGTCGCTAGTTGAAGTATCACAGTGATACTCGTGGGCAGTAAGAGACCGCCCGGAGCCAAGTGACTGATTCGTAAATTCTGTATAGTCAGCCACATATGAGCGTCGATATCTCCGCGCAGAAGCAACTCCGTAGAAAATATAACATGATACATCTGATCTTTATAGAATTCTTGTTGCCAACAATTGCCATAAAGGACTGTAATTTTATCAAGTGGTATGTCGTTCGCCTTCAAGACGGACTGTATAAAGTTTTGGTCTTCCAAAGTCCACGCGTGGCAGAGCAGTGATCTTGCACCTCGAAGCATCATTTGAAGCCCGAACATCGGGAATGGACTAAAGTCAATTATATCTGTGTCGGTCATATCTACTATCTGCTGCAGATAAGCACAAGCTGCCGGAATACAACGAATTATTGCGTTCATGAAAACTGTGTCATTAAGAAATCTAATCAGGGAAATTGAGATTCTCGGTTTGCTGACTTCTGTTTGGAACGCTATTTTCCCCTCTTCCAACACAAATTTAATTGGTGTGCTCTGATTGGTCTTAACTTTTGTCGGTACAAAATCCGGAAATACAGCTTGCGACCACCCCTTTGTGCGACTATCGCACGGTACAGTAGCGGTACGCGGGTCATTCGTTAGTTCTATGTATTTTGTTAAGTAAAGTTTAAACCAGCCCACTATCACATCAATTTCACCGTCCTCTTTTGCTATTAGGTTAATATCGTAATATGATTTACGATTTTTTGCTACCACATCGTCATATCGATCAAAATTTATATCGAAAACTAATTGTTCATCCGTCATGATTTTGATATCGTCGTACATATCTAAATCTTCTTTGTAGAATGTTTTTTGTTCAGGTAACATACAGAGCACTGTTGAGTTAGGAATTTTCAAACTTTTCTTCGCTATTTCATGCAGTCGATATTTATTAGCAATACGTTTGCATTTCGCTCCTGCAACATAATATTCTCCCTTATACGGCAGCGCCCGCGTATTCCGAGCTAGCAGACGTTCCCAAGCCATCTTAAGGTTTTCAAGCATACCGTGTCTTAAAAGACCCTCGTCAAAATTATTAATTATTACGAATGTACGCTTACCAATAATGTCGGACGGAACAAAATCCCTTATAGGATGATCTACGAGAATGATCGAGTCGTCTTGTCGCTCTAGCACAATGCCTTGCACGAGCTGGGTGAGAGCAGGCGATGAGTTAAAGCTCACAGTGGACTGCGCCTTGCACCCGCGGGCCATCAGCGCCGATAAACCAATGCCCCCGTCCAGGTCTAATATTCGGTCGTTTTGAGGTTTTATCTCCATGTACATGGCGGATCCATATGCGGCGTTTCGTGTTTTATCGTTATATAACCTGAACAGACCTCTGTCAAAGATCATTTTCTTCGACTCGTTCATTTTGAGTTCAACATTTACAAGGCTCGAATCGAGGTTAAAAGCTTTTTCGTAGTGAATCAGTGCCTCGGCATGCATACCGTAGCTGTAAAAGATGTCACCGATGTCAGTCAGTAGAACGATGTTACCGGGAAAAGCGCGTAAGGCATAACGCACGCAGTACATCATTTCGAAGCTGAATCGTGGCATTTTGAACAACGCTTCCATTAATTTGGCCAATACCACACGGAACTCGTATTCTATATATATTTTCACGGTTGGGTGCTTTTCTATTGCTGTTAAATAAGAGTTGAAAGCGTCTCGGTACTCTCCTTGTTCAGTCAAACGACGAGCTTCGTTAATCTCCAAATACTCCATTTGGAAATTGTTATGTAAATATCACTTTAAAAGTAACTATCAATAGAAGTTATTGCACACACAGTTATTGCACTTTTAGTTGGCACTAAGACATTTCGTGCCCATACGTCCGGCGGGTACGACGGTCGCGCATGAACTACTGGATTGTTATATGCAGTCTTCGTAAGTCGGAGCCGTAGTCACTTTGTTAACTTTATTTGTCTTAACAACAAAAGATTTGATGCACAATACAAGCATGGTATTTTTATAAGTATTACGCTTTGACCTTCTCGGAAATAGTTTGAGCTTTTAGGTTACGGGAAGGGATTCTATTTTTCCAATTGTTTAGTCGGATGGTTAATTTTTGTGTTGTGTTTTCGATTCCTACATATTGTCAGGTTATATTTAAATCTTTCAAATAATTTATAGGTATATTGTTAAAGTGAACAGATTTGTATATTCACGTTATAAGCTTTAAAAATATAAGCGTCTACAATGAGGAGAAATATAATTCTTATTATTCATAAAACTTAAAGTTGGATGGAAGTTGTGTGCATTAAGTACTCGATGGTATATTACTCGGCTATTTGCAAGAACCTAACACGTGTTAGTTACTGGTTTCATTTGGCAAACAGGCTAATAAAACAAACCAATGTTCTGTCAAGTATACTGCCACGTGGCAATTATTTGTCTCATATGATAATTACACAACACATAAACGAATAGCATTAGGGGCATATCTAAATGACACTTTCACAGTGTCGTTTCGGTACTACCCAGCTATTGACTTGTCATTAAAAATTTTAAAGCTAAAGACCATTAAATCGAATGTCATATTAGCACATTTTATTACGTCAATACTTTAAAAAAGAATAGGCCACGTGCGAGGCGGAGTCACGCTCACTTTATTTTTATTCCATTTGGTTATCTACACTTTGTATATAATGCATTATATCCGAAAACGTTGTCGGATCTTATTCTAATAGTACAACCTCTTAAACATGCATTAAATAACTTTCCAGTATCCATAAAGTTTCTAACAAAAAAAAACAACACGTTTTAGGTCATAATCGCCTATTTCTTAAATAGTCGACGAATCACTATCTATAAAAAAACGCAAAGTAATCACGTTTGTTGTATGGGAATATTTCTTGTATTACTGTTTGTTATATTTGTTATCTCAGCGGCAACAGTAATATACCTACAATCTGTGATTTTTGAATTTCAACTATCTGGTTATCACGGTTCATTAGGACAGACGGACGGACGAACGGACAGCGGAGTCTTAGTAATAGCACAAAAATAGGTTCACAGGCAGGTATATATTTTTCCGGTTTTACCCGTTAGATACGAACGGCCCTTGAACACGATGCAACAGCTGCCTAAAAGACGGACGTCTTTTCTCAAATTAATCAATTAAATAAAGATTAAAAAACAAGCTTAACTTTTAAAACGGTCGTTTGTTATAAAAAGATTAAAGTGACATAGTTAAGGACATTTAATAATAATTTATTTCAGATTTATGCATCGATATGGTGTTAGTAACAATTGGAATTTAATAATATTAAATAATATATTCAATTTAATTTATTTCCATATCATAGTTCAATTTAACACTATTAAAAAATGTACGTATCGCCTGAGAGGTCGCCGTTGCCGTTCGCAGATGCATCCCACGCATCAGTAGCAGCGAGTTCCATCTATCATAGAGCGTGCGCACGATACTGTTACGGTTGACGCGCACGCGCTTTAGCAGCGACCCGTTTCGCTTACGTGTTATCACATAAAAGCAATCAGTTCGCGCCTCAGCAAACATAATGTACGCACTGCAATATCGCGCAGCCCAAACAATATCCTGAACTTGTTATTATATTGGATACGCAATGATCCATAACACGCTGCGCTAAGCTAACCCACAGATAGCAAGTGTAGAACGTTTGACAATAAGCTTTGGAAATAAGGGAGACCCACGCTTCGGCATAAATGGGCCGGCTCGACCGGAGTGATACCACGGCCTCACAGAAAACCGACGTGAAGCAACTTGCGTTGTGTTTCGTCGTGTGAGTGAGGGTACCGGAGGCCCAAACCCTCCCTATTCCCTTCCCTCTACCCCTCAACCTTTCCCTCCAAGGCCGGCAGCGCGCTTGTAGCCCCTCTGGTGTTACAGGTATCCAGGTGTCACCATCAGGAGATCCGTCTGCTCGTCTGCCCACTATCCCATAAAAAAAGGGTAACTTTACCTGTTTACTACACCTTGCAAAGCTAGCTGCGTGCCAACATGTTACAACGTACACTCAACGCCCTGCGCTCACTCTCAATATCTGTGTTATCAGACAGGTTTTCGGATGTCCTTTGGTTTTTAATATTTAATACAGTCGGTTTCATTGGGAATGGCTGAATTTAACATGAATTATTTTATCATAACAGAAAGATAATTTTAATAAAGCACTCGTTTCTTTGAGCGTATTTTCATAAATGTTCAGGCAATCCACCCAAACGAAAGCCGAAATAAATATTCTTACAAATATTTAAACTGTCGATAAAGATGAAAATGACAAGTAACTGGAAAAATTCGTCGGTTCTGTTAAGTCCTGGGTAGCTTAGTGGTTAAAATGGTCGCCCGGATTGCGAAAGTTCATCGATTCGAATCCCATTTCAGAGTGCTAGGGACAAAGTGGATTTTCTCATCATTTTTTAATAACAAACTTTTTAAATAGTGAGTATAAAAATACGATGCTAAGAAGGAAAACTGGTATTTTCTTGTTCTTGTTAGTAACAATGCCGGGTTCTACGATATTTTGTTTTGTATAATATATATAATACTAGCTTAATCAATTATTATTTGCAGGACCGTAATTCAATAATTGAGGTGGAGAGAATTCATCTCGGTATTACTTAAATGCGACTAAACGACCAGTTTCACTTTATCAGTTCATTTATTACTCTTCTTGACTTTGAACAGTGCATACATGTGTATTGCTGAATAAAAAAGTTTTATTATATTTACCTGGTATGACGCATATGGACTGCTTTCTTGTGCCCTTTTTTTATTTAATGATATTACTTAAATGATGTGAAGCGATAACGAGAGAACAAACCACACAAACTGTAGTCTCGTCTGAGATTCACTTTTAAGTTTTTCAAATCTCGTTTAAGCGTTACTCGATAGATACGTACCTGTTTTGTCTTTCTACGAAGAGTCAATACTGTGGAGGGCTTTTAACGAAATAATAGTGTAGTTACTATTTTTCTACAGAGTACTGTAGCACTATGATTATATATTTTGTGAAAACCCTATACAATCACGCCATTCAATGAGCCTACAATCTCATATCAACTAGCTGTTGTATCCCATCTGATGTAGCTACTCGTAGAAGAAAGAATTTTTAAAATCTGTTTTGTAGTTTTGGAGTCTATTCAAAGCAAACAGACAACTAAACACATAAAAAAACAATCAAATGTTTCCTCTATATAATATTAGTATAGATACTATATTTATAATATTTTGTTCTTGTTTTTAACAATACAAGATGAAAATTTTAACTACGTACAATAAGGCTTGGTGAATAAAATTGGGATATAAACCAACTCATTGATTTACATCGATTTCAGAACCCGACCTTTAGAGAAGCAAGAGAGCAAAATAAATCAAACGAGACATTAAATAAATATAAAACAATCATAAGGGATACAGCAAAAAACACCACTTGCGAAGCTTGCAGTGTTAAAGGAGAACAAAATAAGAAGCCGCAGGAAGACAGCCCGTGAGTATTAGTTTCTTAAACTGTTTTGACAAAAACTATTTTTTTTTTACTTTTTTAAGCATCGTAATATATATACTTAGCAGTTTAATGTCTGAGAAATTGTACATAATCGCTTAACAGCTGTAGTTATTTTCACATCTGGATTTCACTAGCCAAGTAACAAAATATCATTATAACATAAGAATTACGTGTTATTAAAGCATTATCTCAGCAATTTTCTTTATAAATGTATGCTATAAGTGTTTTTTGCTAACAGGGTATGTAACCCTTGTCAGTCAAACAATGTTTTATCATGCAGCAGTCTACATCCAAAATTCACCATCTGGCTAGAAAATTTAAATGTAAAAGTTAAAAACCAAATTATAAATAGTACCTATATAGTGAACTTGCTGATTGTTCTTATTGTAATGTATCGGAAATAAAACTACTATTTTAATAATAAAGGAGAAATAATTTAAAGGACACATTTAAATATGTCATAAAACTTACCTGAATTATTGATAAAAAATCCCATGTCGATTTCCACGTATAAACTACGTATTAGAAGCACAACCTATTAAATATAAACTCACGTTTAGTATGGCGTCAGTTTTTAGCAGTAGTAAATTCGAATAAATATTATATAATTACTAACTCACACGCTGTTACAAACACAAAATCACTAATAGCAGGATTTTGCAAACGATTTTAAGAATTATTGGCTATATAAGAAGAAACTTTAAAACTAATCAGTTTCGATTAAAACAAAGACCACTTCTATGTCTTTTGACAGCCAAAACACGTTACAGAACGAACACTTTCGTGATACGAGCGGGCAATACATTTAAAAGACTACCTTATAATGTTGACTTTTTTTGTTCTAGCACCACATATGATAAAAAAGTATTGAGTCTCAGTTTTTTTGATGATAACAACGATTACAACACATCCTTGTGTTGTTTTTGTTGCAGAAATGTTAAATGTTTACATTTTTCTTTTAAGTTGTCCTCTAGGTTTTTTAATTAATGGCAAAATTTCCGTGTATAACGGAACAAGTCCATATTGAAAAAAAAAAACTTTTAATTTATAACCTATTTGTGGAGATTTGTTATTAGCATTGGAATAATTTACTATGTAACCTGTAAATCTTACTAAAAATAAATAAATTACAAATTTGCAATACCATTGCTTGTTAGTGGTAATTATGAGAAAAAATCGCTTATTATATGATATATTTTTTTTTATACCAGTGATTCTTAAAATTTTCTTATTTTTAATTATAAAACGACTGCAAGACTAATATACTTATAATTTGTGCCCAAAGCCGTCTTATTACTGTTTGCATGGTCTTTATAAAGGTAATACTTTTAGCTTTATTATCAATAATAAAACAATTTTTTGCTACTTGGGTACCACTTATCATCAGGTGAAGTGAAATCCGACATACACGACGACAGACTATAATATTAAAAATGTAATAATGGATTGCAAATAACTTGATTTTATAAATTTTCATTTAGAACAAAAGATCAAGCAATAATCTACAGTGATGAAGACAAGAAACATTTGGATCAAACTATGCAAGGTATGGATTCCAGTAAGCAAGATGAACCTCGAAATAATCTTAGTCAAAAAAGTGATACCCACAACAGTTTTCAAATACCCGGCCCCTTACCCGTAGATGCAATTAAAAATGACGTTCCAGTCAAAGTCAAAGGAAAAAGTATGGCATCCAAAATTAAGCAAGTGATCGACAACAAAAAAAGAAAAAGTGTATCACGTAACATTTACTACGATAGTCAAGATAGAGATAGAAAAAACATGACAGTCAAGAACTCTGATGAGTCTCCTGTTGTTGCTATAACATCTACTAATTTGATTGATCGTGTAAAAAGTGATGTGCGTACAATACATGAAAATACATCAATATTGAGTGACATGGATAAAACGGACGCTAAACATAAAGACGTTGATGGTAAATTAAAATTTTCTTCTGAAATTAATATTCCAAATGAAAATATTTTGAATAAAGTAGACGCAGAGGGAGCTACCGATATTCATACTTGCAATACAGCTGTAGGAACCGATCAAATCCAGGATAGAGATCCTGAATTAGGTAAGTTTATATAAGACATTTCAAATTTTACCAAAATAAATATATCTGAGAATAGACTTTTTTTTTTGTTATTAAAATACTACAAAGAAAGTTGAGAGAGTACTAATAAGAAGAAAGTACTAATAAGAAGTGTCGATGTAAAAGTAAGCAGAGGCAAGCTCTTTTAGACTTATGGAAATGTTGACAGATGAAAGAATGACGAAACTGATATAGAAGGCAGTAGTAAACAATGTAGAAGATAGAAAGAAAAAAATGTAAGATCAATACTAGTATAATTTTTCATTTTCCCCCTAATTTCATCCCGAATTCTCCCATTTCCAGTTAAGCCCCAAGAATTACTAAATAATATTTGGTAATTGAAAATGTATAATACTTATGATATCTCCTTTCCTTGTATCCGTTTGTTTCCTTCCCTAGAACTATGTGAGCATCATGTACGGTTATGCACATGTCGATCTGCTGGCGCCGCCCGTCGTGAATTAGCTGTGTTCCGTACCTGCAGCGGCACTCTTCGTTTAAAGACCATAAACCACAAACAAGGCACCACCGTTAAACAGTGCGCATGTCTTGACAAGCAGAACAACAAACTGAAAACTGCTTTTGGTATCATTTATATTGCTGTTAAAGTTAATTATGAGTTGAATTTTAAAGTAAAATTATTTTAACGGTATAAAAAATTGTGCAAATTATAAATACATATTTTTTTTGTATCTGTAATGTTTTATAATTGGCCTATAATATCATCAATAAAGTATGTTTCAAACACAACTGTATGAGCGAAATATGTCAATTGAGTAGATTTACGAGTAATTTGAAATTAGGCTATCTTATATTTAACGAATTTATTTAAAATTGCTGAACGGACAGTCAAAAGTATGAAAAGTATGACCAAACTGTCAAATTTTTGGATTTCATTTCTAACCTCTTAATGCGTTGAAGGTAAGGTTCCAAATAGACTGCAAAAATTTGACATAATGTAGCTGCTAGTTGCAAATCAGTAACGTTATTTTAAGGCATACATTAGTAGTAATATTTTTATGGTTAGTTGAGTATGTTTTTCTTTTATATGTAATCCTTATTTTGATAAATAAAGAGTCATTTTACAATTACCGTACAAGACCGTAAATAGTCGTATTGAAACCTTACCTTACCACCTCACCTCATATCACAATTTCTATTATATCTTTTATAGTAAAAACCAATTAATATGGCGTATTGTGAATTAAACTGGCCCGTCCATATAGGTAAACTAGGCAACTGCCTAGGGCGCTCGTATTTTGGGGGGCAGCATGGCATGCCAAACAGATTGTTGGCTTATAAAATTAACCTTAAAAAATACTTTTGTTCTTTGAACATGAGTCAGTGTCCGCGATATTCAAAAGTACAAAATGTTCAGACCAGCATTGCCTAAGGAGTTTGCTTTGCCATCGGGAACATAGCAAATTGTTATTTTTTTATGGGCCTCGTTCCAGTGTTTTGCCTCCCTAGGCTTTCATTGAACTGACGCTGGTTGTAAATTTTCAATAAAAATAAGATTTGAAAGTCACGGTTGACGTTACTCGTACTCGCCACAGTTTGGTTGGCCAGGATTCTCCGTGCTTCGAAATCTAACCTTCCCGTCTTATTAGTTGTGTTTTACTGGACCACGCTGCGTGTATAAATAAGAACTTTTGTAAATAATCTACATGTTTGTAGGTATACAAACAGACGCCAATGTGGATCATGAAGAACGATTGGTTGGTCCAAGTAAAGTTCACGCTTCCTTCGCCGCAACTCCAAATGCCGCACCTACTCATAAATCGCGGGCTACGTCACCCGATAATACTGATGCTGAGATGTCTTCACTTACTGATTTGCCTTCGGAGAAAGAAAGTAACAGTAAAAGTAAGTCAGTGCACAAACTCGTATATTATGTTTGTCACTGTAAATCATAATGACGTTTTTTCTAATTAATCACCGAACTTTGTTTATATACCTGTAGATTATTTAACTAATAAAATGGTGTATTCAAGGTCACCAACAATTGGAGTGTGTCCGTTTTGGAGAACCCGATGTGATTGAACACTATTTTTACATAACCATTTCAGTGATTCAGTATTCAGGAACAATTCATCGATTAAATATTTGAAACTTTACTTTTTTTGTAAAAAAGAACAAAGACTTTTAAGTTAATACCCACAAAAATGCTCAATAACATAACAAAAATCGCGAATTACTGAGAAAAATATTCTACCTTTTTTTATAGTGATATAAAATAGAATAAAGTACACCTGCCCAATCTCATTTTGTCATTTTAATTACACAAAATTATCCGTTACTTCCATGGTAATTATTCTAGATACTAAAGGACATTGGGACCTTTTTGCCCCAGTAGCGGACAATAACGCAATTTATAACAGTTTTTAGATAATATGACGTACTTTATTAATGTGTAATTTTTTTCCATATCTTATGGGAAAGCAGAGAAAATGATATTTTTATAAACAGTATTTTGCATATACTTTTATTAGAAATAACCATGGTTTTTTTTTCTAAAAGGCTATATTTTGTCCTAATATACAGAGTGACTTATCTGAAACTATGAGACATACGAAGATTTGTTCTTAGGAACCATGTCACCGATTTTGAAAAAAAAACTGTACCCAGCTTGGGAATCGAACCCGGTTATTTAAAAAAAATAAACTTACACTTTTTCTATTTAATTGTGTTATATTTTTGTATCGATTGTGTAGGTCTTAAGCTGTAAATGTCTCTATGAAACATGATGTAAAAAATGTCTAAAATGTATAATGACGTGAGTAGTTTTATCGAATGCATGAAATCAGTTTTTCTTTTTATCAAAATCGGTGGCATGGTTCCTAAGAAAAAATCTTCGTATGTCTCATAGTTTCAGATTTTCCCATACTGACCGATTTGAATGAACCACCCTGTATTACCTAATATATTTTGATATTCCCATAATAATGCCCCTTTGCTCAATTAAACTATAAATTGAAAGCTATAAAATTAGGTGCGTTTCGTCTTTGTCCGCCGTGGGGATTTTTTCCTTAGTAAAGTTCCCAATGGCCTTTTTAAAACTAACTAGTTTACGACCTTAAAGCAGGTAATTTACAATAACCCTCCGCCAACAATGTTATCTACAAGCAAACACAAAGAGTTTATTATCATACTGGTCATCTGTGGGCCATCTGTTAACAAAAATATAAAAAAAGCTTTAAAAGTAACCAATATGACTTGGGTTAAGCTTTTTTTGTATCGTTTTCTTTCAGGTAAAAGTGCGCGTACGCCACTTTCTCCCGGCGAACAAAAGACTACAACTACATACACAGACTCGTATACTCAACCCGCAATTGACTACGGCTCGCTTAGCGAAGGCGAATTACCTGAACCCTGTAACGGTTAGATCATGTTGGTTTTAAACTTTTAGTATAATTATAAGGATAGAATGGACGTACTAGTTTCAAATTAGTTTATTAATTTTTGTGTATATATATTAGTTGATTACTCCACACAAAAGCTAAAGGTTCAAAAAACTGTTGACATATTTCATTCATACTAAGGGCACACTGTATCGTTTATAATTGGTATAATAACACGTTATTTTATCTATCTTACAGATTACTAACTGTTGTCCCGCGACTTCGCCTGTATAAATTTTATATATAGCCTGTATAAAACCTTTGGCACACAGATATGTTGTCGCTTCCTTTTTTAAAATCTGCTCTGAAATTACTGAGTTTCAGAGCCTAATCGATGCAAACAAACAATTTTTTTCTCTTTATAATATTAGCATAGACTAGCTGATATTGCGATCTAAATACCACTAGGTAGTGTAATTATAAGGCATGGTCTATTACTCGTTGGTAATGCAGCTTTTTGTTGTTGAAAAGAGGTTTTAAAATAGGTCGATAGGTTTGAATTTATCCATTTATTAAGGACTAGTGGCCGCTAGCGACTTCGTCTGCGTTTTCCATTATTTCTTCGCTCCTAATAGTTGCAGCGTGGTGTTTTATTGTAGCCTAAAGCCTTCCTCGATAGATGGTCAATTCAACACAAAAATAATTTTTTAATTCGAACCAGTAGTTCTTGAGATTAGCGCGTACAAACAAACAAACAAACAAACTCTTCAGCTTTATAATATTAGTATAGATCAATACATTTTTTTTTCTTTTACAGATACGAAAATGTCACTCGGGGAGACCAAAGTGAACTTCGCCAAAGTTGATCCGTAAGTTAAATTGAATATTCATTAGAATTTTACAATCTTAATTTGAAAGTGAATAATACGGATTATTTAGTAGTTACTTTTAATATAAATTTATGAATGAAACCAAAATAAAAGTGAAACACTAGGGATAAGTGGATTATTAAACATTTTTCACTTAGAATATTAAGGGATTTTTCATTTTATCTGCTCCTCTTGATGAAACCTACAATTTTCGATAGAAAGATCTACTCTTTAGCCACTTGATACGGATGCAGCTAACTACCAATCATAGACGTTTACACTACCTACCTCTAAACCTTTCTTCAGTCTAAAAATACACGTGTAGCACCCTTTGGTATTTATTTATTTTATTTTATTTTTATTTTCAATATCTTAGGAAAACTTACAGCTAGGTAATACTATACATAGTTTTTATTATATCTATAAAGAAGGCCAATTACAAGTTTCCACTTATAGGTAATTGAACAATAGGCAAAAACAGACGACAGCTAAAAGCAACAAAATTAAAATTATAGTAGGATAACATTTAAGATTGTAAGCATTACTTATTTTACTTTATATTTCATTATTTTATGTATATTTATAGCTCCAGATAGAAAAAAAAAGAAAACCAATTCACTTATCAAAAAATTTGTCTACTAAATGGCCTTTGAGTTTGTTTAATGAAGTATTAAATAAATCGATGTCAACATTTGCCTTGATCAAAGTGTTGAACATTGCGCTAGCTCTCAAAATAAAAGAGTTTTGCCTATAATTGGTACGAACTAAGGGAACATGAAGAAGGTTAGGTTTTCTTAGTGCAGCTGTGTTAACACGGAGACCAATTAATTCCAACAAATCAGGACAGTCAATGATGCCATTTGCTATTTTGTAAAAATAAGTTAGATCTGCTATTTCTCTACGCTCGTACAGAGGGAGTAAATGAAATTTTCGACATCTTGTTAAATAATCAGGTAAGTAAATTTTTGCTCTGAACTGTAGAAACCGTAAAAACCTCCTCTGGATGCCTTCTAATCTCGAAGAGTAAACATCGTAACAAGGATTCCATACTGGCGATGCGTATTCAAGGTGACTGCGTACATATGCACAATATAAAATTTTAAAAGTTTTTATGTTAGAAAATTGAGACGATATCCGTAACACAAAACCAAGGGCCCTAGAAGCCTTTTTAACTATGTTATTTATATGTTCATCAAATAGTAATTTAGAATCGAAAGTTACTCCCAAATCTTTCATATTATTAATTCTTGTTAGAGATATATTATTGAGCATATAGTTATATGTGATAGGTGATGTTTTACGAGTATATGAAGAAACATAGCATTTCGATAAGTTTAATTCCAATTTATTGACATTACAATACTCAAAGAAATTTCTTAAATCGCTCTGTAACTTTAGTGCGTCATTTGAACATTTTATTGGATGTAGAATTTTCATATCATCTGCATACAGGAGTACCTTCGAATAACAAAAACAGGAGGATATGTCGTTTACAAATATATTAAAGAGCAGAGGCCCCAGTAAAGACCCCTGTGGCACACCTGAAGGAATGGTCATTGGTAGTGAGGAATATCCACATAGAACCACTGTCTGGCATCTATTTTGAACATATGATGAAAACCACCGAAACAGATTACCTCTGATACCAGACATTTGAAGCTTCATTAGAAGGACCGAATGGTCTATGCGATCAAAACATTTGCGGATATCAGTGTATATTACGTCAACTTGAGCAGGTTCAGACATAATTTTAGTTAAATACTCTGAGCAGAGTAGAAGATTAGATGTTGTGGAGCGACCTTTCAAGAAACCATGTTGCTGTGGAGTGAAATCATGCTTTAATGCAGAATAAAGTTGAGAATATATCATCTTTTCGAATATCTTAGCAAAAAGACACAATTTAGAGATGGGACGGTAATTTTCAATGTTGTTTCTGGGGCCACTTTTATGAATAGGTGTAATAAAAACAGATTTCCAAATATTAGGAACGTTGCCTTCGTTGAGTGAGCGACGATAAATGAGAGATAATGGCAGAGTAAGACTACGGGCACATTTTATAATAAAAATTGCTGGAATTTGATCAGGTCCTGCGGATTTATTGAGCTCTAAAGATTTCAACAATTTATTATTATATTAGTATTATTTGGACTACTAAAGGTCCCTCTAGTGGTCATACTGTAACGGTGTGCCATGCCACCGTTTGTTTTCCTAGGTTTCAGTATGCAAACTTTTTGCTTTTGAAATTCAACATCATTTCATTTTACTATTCGTCTTTCGTAATTTAAAATTTTGACTAATCAATTTTGCTCTTTATGGATGTCAGTTCGTAAGAAATTCTCCTATACACAAGATGAAATTATAATATAATACAATATTATTGGTATAAATTTTACTATGTAATTTTAATAATTCATATATTATGGTGATACAATAATATAACATACGAGGGTCAAACTGAAAGTTCTTAGAACTGGCCACTTATAAACAATATAATAAAAAAATAATTCTAAAATTTGAAAATATAACTCTTTGCCAATATTACTGAGTATATATTTCATTCATTTGTCATTTGTTTTACGATTTGGCGGCAAATTGAAAATTGTCTGTGTCACGTCATCATGAATTTAACACGAGAAAATTTTCGTGCAATGATTTTTTATGACTTTCGATGTCATTTAAGTCAACAAGAAAGTTATGATAGACTACGATTGACCTTTCACGATGAAGCCCCATCTCGTGCGACTGTTTACAACTGGTTTAATGAGTTTAAACGTGGTCGCACTAATCTCACTGATGATTTACGTGAGGGACGGCCTTCTACGGCGACGACTGAAGATAACATCTGTGTTGTGCGGCGTATGATAGAGACTGACAAAAGAGTGACCTATCAACAGATTCGGACAAGCTTAGGCATCGGTATGAGTCAAGTGCACAAAATCCTCCACGAACATTTAGCGGTCAGGAAGCTTTGCGCCCGGTGGATACCTCATAATTTGACTGAGGCTCAAAAACTCCATCGTGTGGATTGGTGTCGTAAAATGATTGAAAGATTTAACGGAGGTGACTCAAATGCTGTGTTCGACATACTAACAGGTGACGAAAGCTGGATTTACTGTTATGATCCTAAAACCAAAAGACAATCTGCTCAGTGGGTGTTTCCTTTCGAGGAGTTGCCAACTAAAGTGAAGAGAGATCGAAGTGCGGGAAAAAAAATGGTGGCCTCGTTCTTTGGAAGGATAGGTCATTTTACAACAATTGTATTAGAGGATCAAAAAACAGTTTCTGCAGAATGGTACACTACCAATTGTTTGCCACTTGTCTTGGAAAAAGTTCGAGAGAAACGACCTCGCAGTAGGATCCTCCTTCACCACGACAACGCCTCGTCGCACACCGCCAAGCGAACGATCGACTATTTGGCGACATCAAACGTTGAATTACTGGGTCACCCGCCGTATAGCCCCGACCTCGCGCCTTGTGATTTTTATTTATTTCCAAAAATTAAAGAAAAACTTAAAGGAAAGCGGTTTATGAATGCTGAAGAAGCGGTGGCTGCGTATCGCGATGCCATTGAAGAGACCCCTAAGGACGAGTGGGCAAAGTGCTTTTCCCAGTGGTTCCATCGCATGCAGCGGTGTATTGACGTGAATGGACAATATTTTGAAAAGATATAATAAAACTAATAACTGGCTAATGTAATCAGTTTTTGATTTTCTAAGAACTTTCAGTTTGACCCTCGTATTTACTAAATTAAAACTGTATTTTGTACGATCCAAAAGTGTAACAAGAAGCCCGACAAGGGGTATGTATTCGTTTATTTGATAAGAATGTATTAGTTTAAGTAACTTACGAACTGTTTTTTAAATTTATTTTTGTTTGTTACAGTTTTTTATTATTACCCTTATTTCATTAATAAATTATACTCAAGCTGATCAGCCTATTTAATTGACGAAGCACCGAACCCGTAACACTGGCGCCGCAACGTGGTTGAAAAATAGGCTGACTACTGCAATAGAAGACAATAGTGCACACTTTACGACCAACACCACAATCACATTTACTCACATAAACAGACAATAGACGTTCAGCGTTACTTTGGCTGGTCACAAATGTGATCGGTTCTGATGCCATTGTATCGAGAAACATACAAACACGTACTCAACATAGTGTTATAAAACAGGAATATTTAATAGTAAATAATCTAATTAAGATTCCGTATATATAAAG